CGTTGGTAAAGAGTAGCCGAAGAGTTGGTCGGTGGGTGGTGATGACTAGCTGCCTTCCCTCTAGTCTTACACTGCTAAATTAGGGACGGCTAGCGCAGATAGCCCTCGTGTAGCTTTGCGCGAAAAACAAAACATTTATTGTTTAGCAGCTAATGTTGGTTTTTGTAGTTAGAATATTGTCAGCTAACTTTTTGTTAGAACTTGTGATGAATTTAATATGTTTTTTGGTATTACTAAGTTCTTCAAGTGCCTTCGTGATCGTATTGTTTCTCTCTCTCAGATACACATTATATATATATATGTATTTTATACTGAAATATTCACTAAAAACTTCAAGTGACGGTGTGGTCATACAGTTCCTCATATACACGGAAACAACGCAACTACAAAACAACCATGTACCACCTGGACACACACACCATAAAGTGAATAGTTATACAATGTGCCCTGGTTTTTCAGGTACTGGCGGAAGTAAGATCCAAATTACGTTGGGGGTACACCGTCTATCCAGTTTAACCTCAGTTTCGCAGTCTTCACGTTTTTGCTAAAAAGAGAGAGAGAGCAGATGTGGGTGCTCTAGCCCACAACGTCCCACATCTTTACCACCTTTCGCTATCTGCAGCCAGATGTGGGAAGGTGGATGCTAAAAAAAAATTAATAAAAAGAAAGAAAGAATTGGAATACATACATCAATACATACTTAAAGATTCACTAAAATTTTCAAGTGTCAGTGTGATTTGCATTTTGTTACTCTTAACTGTATAAATATTTAAATAATTATTTGTTTAACAGCTTAAGTATATCTTACACGTGTTGCTTGATTGATTAATAACGAAAGCATCTTAGTTACCCTTCATATTTGAGATAAGATATAAACCTAATTATTTTTTATAGCACACAACAGGCAGAAGAGGGTGCGTGATCCTTTCCGGCTTCTCTCTGTGGACTTACGACTGCTTGAACAAACAAATGGTTGATTTTATAAACGAACGAAGAAATTCAGTATGAAATCACCTTCATCAATTATTTGCCGCTTTCACGTTCTGGTTATCTTTCACAAAGCAACTTCTTTTGTTTAAAAGATACTTATAAATTTGGACTTAGATACCACGTGCGTGACGGTTCTAAGTTTTAACTGCGTATGCTCCTTTTTCGTTCCTATTGCTCTTTTGGTGAACATTTCAATATCAGATCGGTTTGATTACCTAGAACAAAGTCCTCCTTTTCAGTATTAGATAAATAAAACTTTTTTCTGATTATTTTTATATCATTACGAACACGATAAAAATACAATAAATAACACTTATTATGGACACAAACTAGGTGTGTTATATAATTATCTTGTTTGTACTCACTTCCCCACACACGTATTTATATAAAATGACAAAATACCCAAACATTTAATATGGGTATGCCACATTGATTAGTTCACAATTCAATAGCATGGGTTGTCTATATTATTCTGCGATTAACATTTAATATGGGTATACCACATTGATTAGTTCACAATTCAGTAGCATAGGTTGTCTATATTATTACATTGATTAGTTCACAATTCAATAGCATGGGTTGTCTATATTATTCTCCGATTAACAGAGGTACTTTG